ATGGTTTTACAAGTTAGTGTTAGTGTCCACTGTAGTGTTCGTGACCACCAGAGTGTTCGTGACCACCATAGTGTTCGTGACCACCAGAGTGTTCGTGACCACCATAGTGTTCGTGACCACCATAGTGTTCGTGACCACCAGAGTGTTCGTGACCACCATAGTGTTCGTGACCACCCGAGTGTTCGTGACCACCAGAGTGTTCGTGACCACCATAGTGTTCGTGACCACCGTAATATTCGTGACCACCGTAATATTCCTGACCAGAATAGTGTTCGTGACCACCATAGTGTTCGTGACCTACATAGACTTTGTGTTCACCGCAGTTTTCTTGTCCATTATAGTGATCGTGATCACTGTATTGTTCGTGTCCACCGCAGTGTTAGTGTCCACCATAAGGTTAGTGTCCATCGAAGTGTTCGTTACCTCCGCAGTATTCGTGACCACCGTATTGTCCGTGTCCACCGTGGTGTTCGTGACCAGCATAGTGCTCGTGTCCACAATAGTGTTAATGGGTATCTCTTCTGCAGGGTCAGTTCGTTGGAAAGGTACAGAAGATATTTGCAGCTATGCCTTTAAGTGACAGTTTTGACTATGAGAAAGTAAAGGCAGCCATCCTTACTGTTTATCAACTGGTTCCTGAGGTTTATAGGCAAAAGTTTAGACAACTGAGACGAGACCCAAGTCAAACCTTGGTAGAATTTGTACAAGAAAAATATAATATGTTTAATAAATGGTTAGATGCTGAAAAAATTAGGGATCTGAACTCTCTAACAAAATTTACGCTTAGTAGAAGAATTTTTATCTTGTGTACCTTTTAATGTGACTTTGTATTTGGCAGAGGAATTACCCAGAGATATTTATGAGTTGGCTAAATTAGCAGATAAATATGAGTTGATTCATAAAGTATCTTTTAAAAATAAAACTCATTCAACTAGACAAGGATCTGGTCGAGCACTAAACTCCTCAGTCAGATTTGGGTCCCAAATGTACCCAACAGTAGGTCAAGGAAACACTTTTCAAAGGTGCCAGGTGGTAAAGAGAGTAATGTGAAGCCCAAAGAGGATCACACTAGTAATAAGCCTCACCCAGAACTGAAACAGTGTTCTTACTGCCATAGGAAGGGTCATGTTGTTAAGAGTTGTTGGTTACTTCACCCAGAAAAGAGGCCTATGGCACTCACAGTGTGTGATGGGAGGAAAACCAAATGTGTAGCAAAAATAATGGAAAAAAAGCACTTGCTATAAATCATTTTGGAGAGTTTATATCAAATGAAAAAATACAGTGTGCATATGGTTTGTGGCATGATGTTAAAATTTTGAGTGATACAGGAGCAACCCAATCTTTGAGAGAGTGTTACAATATATACAGTCTACAGAGACAGGGAAGGTAATGATTATACAGGGAATCACCGGAGATTTCCAGATTGTACCCTTAAGGGTCACAGTCTGGATACCAAGGGTCAAGTCACAGTTAAGTCAAGTAAACCTTGACTGTGATTTTATTAAAGGCAAAAATTTAGTAGGTGTTAGTCCTAAATTACAAGTTGCTGGCATTGACCTAATTGTGGGGAATATTCTTGCTGGTAATCGAGTTAAAAAGAGATGACCACCCAGACGTGATTAGGGCACGGACAAATTCTGAGGACAAGGTAATGAGCATGTTCCGTGACCCAGTCAAAATAAGAGTCTCAAATATCACAAACTTCCAATAATATAAGTCAGGACACAAAATTATAGGTTAACAAATCAAATAGTGAAGTGGATCTTTGTGACACTTTTATGACCAAGTTGGAAGAAGCAGCTGGGCACAGGATGGGGAACATCTCCACCAAACCACCTAGGAAAAGGGGTAGGGGAGAGTGCAGTCCAGTTACCACATCTGGCTCTTCAGACTTGAGATCAAAATAAAATTTTATTTATCAGCAATGAACTGATCCTACGTTGACTGACTCGCATAATAAGGCAGTAACTGAACTAGAAGCAGAATCGGAGGCTATGACTTATTACTACACTAAAGAGGTGTTGATGCAGAAGTGGAGACCTAGGAGCTCACCTGTATCACACACTTGGGAGGTAGTTAATCAAGTGGTCCTACCGAGAGGTTATAGAGAAAAGGTGCTAAGTGTAGCCCATGATTCACCAATAGGCGGTCATCAGGGTACTGCAAAAACATATAATAAAATAAGCAAGTACTTTACCTGGCCTGGATTAAAGAAAGATGTCATCCAGTATTGTAATGAATGTCCGTATGTGTAAAAACTGGCAAACCACACTAGGTAATACCAAAAGCCCCTTTACAACCAATTGTGGTGGCTGAAGGACCCTTTACCCATATTATAGTTACCACCATAGTGTTCGTGACCACTATAGTGTTCGTGACCACCATAATCTTCGTGACCACCATAGTATTCGTGACCACCATAGTATTCGTGACCAACGTATTATCCGTGTCCATCATAGTGTTCGTGACCACTGTAGTGTTCGTGTCCACTTTAGTGTTAGTGTCCATCGTAGTGTTCATGACCACCGAGGTGTTCGTGACCACCGTAGTGTTTGTGGGAACCGACCTGTGAGATTTATATTTATTTAATTTATATGAATTTATATAGAATTTATATTTACGTTAATTTATATACTTCGATAGCAATTTGTATGATGTTAAGTGGACTGTATTTCTGCAATAATCTCACAAGTTGATCCATACACATTAGGGGGGGTTTATATTAAATTTATATATATATGCAGCCAATCAAACTACAGTATTAAACTACATATATTAGTATACATTGAGGAGGTTCCTTATCTTAGTGTACAGCCAGCTTAGTCCACCAGATATAACTAGGATGTAGACACCAAATTATCCTCTTTGAGGCAGCTTCCATCACCCAGTAACTGATATACCAAGCCTGCTTCCTCTTCTTGTTCCTGTCAAAGGGCGCTAGCTATAAAGCCAGAATCCTAATATATGACAGGTATATCAGAGAAAACACTGTATAATGATTCAGATAAGGACCAAGGCTTAATTACCTTTTTTGAGTCAATCATTTGTGTTCTCACCGGTTCGCCCAATATCTATCTAACATTAATGGCCAAAAATGATTAGATAAACGGGTTTCGGAAAAACACTTCCCTTGTGATTGATGACAGCGTGTTGATGATGGAAGACCTTTGGTTTCCAAAACACTTCGTCCAAGAGAATTTATAGGAGCCGAATTTGGCCCACGACTCTCAGGTCTTAACAACAATGGCTGACCACTCCTTCCTCCTGATGCCTAGCCTACTTTGTCCGGATATCAGTAACTGATAGAAGGGTCACATTTACTTTATTTTGATACTAAAAATTAATTTAATTCAAATAAGATGTTTTATGATGGTAAAAAGTTCAAAGACTAATGTATTTAAAATAATTCCCAACAAATAGCTGGTGAATATATAATAGTATGTGGCAATGATATCCCGTTTTCTATTGACGGAAAATTTCACTACAAGCTACATTTTCTATGGGTTAAATTGTGTATACAATGGCAGCAATATTATCTGCAATTGCATGTAATATTATTAAATGGTGTCGGATTTTCCGACAGTGTTCGTTGTCCATGCAGAGTTCGTGATCACCAGAATGTTCGTGACGACCATAGTGTTCGTGACCACCGTGGTGTTCATGACCACCATGGTGTTCATGACCACCGTGGTGTTCATGACCACCGTGGTGTTCATGACCACCGTGGTGTTCATGACCACCATGGTGTTCATGACCACCGTGGTGTTCATGACCACCGTGGTGTTCATGACCACCGTGGTGTTCATGACCACCGTGGTGTTCATGACCACCATGGTGTTCATGACCACCGGGGTGTTCATGACCACCGTGGTGTTCATGACCACCGGGGTGTTCATGACCACCGTGGTGTTCATGACCACCGTGGTGTTCATGACCACCGTGGTGTTCATGACCACCGTGGTGTTCATGACCACCGTGGTGTTCATGACCACCGTGGTGTTCATGACCACCATAGTCTTCGTGACCAATGTATTGTCTATGTCCATCTTAGTCTTCGTGACCACTGTAGTGTTCATGACCACTGTAGTGTTCGTGACCATCGTAGTGTTCGTGACCACTGTAGTGTTCGTGACCATCGTAGTGTTCGTGACCACTGTAGTGTTCGTGACCATCGTAGTGTTCGTGACCACTGTAGTGTTCGTGACCACTGTAGTGTTCGTGACCACTGTAGTGTTCATGACCACTGTAGTGTTCGTGACCACTGTAGTGTTCATGACCACTGTAGTGTTCGTGACCATCGTAGTGTTCGTGACCACTGTAGTGTTCGTGACCACTGTAGTGTTCTTGACCACTGTAGTGTTCGTGACCATCGTAGTGTTCATGACCACTGTAGTGTTCGTGACCATCGTAGTGTTCGTGACCACTGTAGTGTTCGTGACCACTGTAGTGTTCGTGACCACTGTAGTGTTCGTGACCACTGTAGTGTTCGTGACCACTGTAGTGTTCGTGACCATCGTAGTGTTCGTGACCACTGTAGTGTTCGTGACCACTGTAGTGTTCGTGACCATCGTAGTGTTCGTGACCACTGTAGTGTTCGTGACCACTGTAGTGTTCGTGACCAGTGTAGTGTTCGTGACCACTGTAGTGTTCGTGACCAGTGTAGTGTTCGTGACCACTGTAGTGTTTGTGACCACTGTAGTGTTCGTGACCACTGTAGTGTTCGTGACCACTGTAGTGTTCGTGACCACTGTAGTGTTCGTGACCATCGTAGTGTTCGTGACCACTGTAGTGTTCGTGACCACTGTAGTGTTCGTGACCACTGTAGTGTTCATGACCACTGTAGTGTTCGTGATCATCGCAGTGTTCATGACCACTGTAGTGTTCGTGATCATCGCAGTGTTTGTGACCACTGTAGTGTTCGTGACCACTGTAGTGTTCGTGACCACTGTAGTGTTCGTGACCACTGTAGTGTTCGTGACCATCGTAGTGTTCGTGACCACTGTAGTGTTCGTGACCACTGTAGTGTTCGTGACCACTGTAGTGTTCGTGACCACTGTAGTGTTCGTGACCACTGTAGTGTTCGTGACCACTGTAGTGTTCGTGACCACTGTAGTGTTCGTGACCACTGTAGTGTTCGTGACCATCGTAGTGTTCGTGACCACTGTAGTGTTCGTGACCACTGTAGTGTTCGTGACCACTGTAGTGTTCGTGACCACTGTAGTGTTCGTGACCACTGTAGTGTTCGTGACCACTGTAGTGTTCGTGACCACTGTAGTGTTCGTGACCACTGTAGTGTTCGTGACCACTGTAGTGTTCGTGACCATCGTAGTGTTCGTGACCACTGTAGTGTTCGTGACCACTGTAGTGTTCGTGACCATCGTAGTGTTCGTGACCACTGTAGTGTTCGTGACCATCGTAGTGTTCGTGACCACTGTAGTGTTCGTGACCATCGTAGTGTTCGTGACCACTGTAGTGTTCGTGACCATCGTAGTGTTCGTGACCACTGTAGTGTTCGTGACCATCGTAGTTTTCGTGACCACTGTAGTGTTCGTGACCATCGTAGTGTTCGTGACCATCGTAGTGTTCGTGACCATCGTAGTGTTCGTGACCATCGTAGTGTTCGTGACGACAGTAGTGTTCGTGACCACTGTAGTGTTCGTGACCACTGTAGTGTTCGTGACCATCGTAGTGTTCGTGACCATCGTAGTGTTCGTGACCATAGTAGTGTTCGTGACCACTGTAGTGTTTGTGACCACTGTAGTGTTCGTGACCATCGTAGTGTTCGTGACCACTGTAGTGTTCGTGACCATCGTAGTGTTCGTGACCACTGTAGTGTTCGTGACCACTGTAGTGTTCGTGACCACTGTAGTGTTTGTGACCACTGTAGTGTTCGTGACCATCGTAGTGTTCGTGACGACAGTAGTGTTCGTGACCACTGTAGTGTTCGTGACCACTGTAGTGTTCGTGACCACTGTAGTGTTCGTGACCATCGTAGTGTTCGTGACCACTGTAGTGTTCGTGACCATCGTAGTGTTCGTGACCACTGTAGTGTTCGTGACCACTGTAGTGTTCGTGACCACTGTAGTGTTTGTGACCACTGTAGTGTTCGTGACCATCGTAGTGTTCGTGACCACTGTAGTGTTCGTGACCACTGTAGTGTTCGTGACCATCGTAGTGTTCGTGACCATCGTAGTGTTCGTGACCATAGTAGTGTTCGTGACCACTGTAGTGTTCGTGACCACTGTAGTGTTCGTGACCATCGTAGTGTTCGTGACCACTGTAGTGTTCGTGACCACTGTAGTGTTCGTGACCACTGTAGTGTTCGTGACCACTGTAGTGTTCGTGCCCACCGTAGTGTTCGTGGCCACTGTAGTGTTCGTGGCCACTGTAGTGTTCGTGACCACTGTAGTGTTCGTGACTACTGTAGTGTTCGTGACCATCGTAGTGTTCGTGACCATCGTAGTGTTCGTGACCATCGTAGTGTTCGTGACCATCGTAGTGTTCGTGACCACTGTAGAGTTCGTGACCATCGTAGTGTTCGTGACCACTGTAGTGTTCGTGACCACTGTAGTGTTCGTGGCCACTGTAGTGTTCGTGGCCACTGTAGTGTTCGTGACCACTGTAGTGTTCGTGACCACTGTAGTGTTTGTGACCATCGTAGTGTTCGTGACCATCGTAGTGTTCGTGACCACTGTAGTGTTTGTGACCAGTATGGTGTTCGTGACCATCGTAGTGTTCGTGACCACTGTAGTGTTCGTGACCATCGTAGTGTTCGTGACCATCGTAGTGTTCGTGACCATCGTAGTGTTCGTGACCATCGTAGTGTTCGTGACCATCGTAGTGTTCGTGACCACTGTAGTGTTCGTGACCATCGTAGTGTTCGTGACCATCGTAGTGTTCGTGACCATCGTAGTGTTCGTGACCATCGTAGTGTTCGTGACCACTGTAGTGTTCGTGACCATCGTAGTGTTCGTGACCACTGTAGTGTTCGTGACCATCGTAGTGTTCGTGACCATCGTAGTGTTAATGACCATCGTAGTGTTCGTGACCATCGTAGTGTTCGTGACCATCGTAGTGTTAATGACCATCGTAGTGTTCGTGACCATCGTAGTGTTCGTGACCATCGTAGTGTTCATGACCACTGTAGTGTTCGTGACCATCATAGTGTTCATGACCATCGTAGTGTTCGTGACCATCGTAGTGTTCATGACCATCGTAGTGTTCGTGCCCACTGTAGTGTTCATGACCATCGTAGTGTTCGTGACCATCGTAGTGTTCGTGATCATCGTAGTGTTCGTGATCATCGCAGTGTTCGTGACCACTGTAGTGTTCGTGATCATCGCAGTGTTCATGACCACTGTAGTGTTCGTGACCATCGTAGTGTTTGTGACCATCGTAGTGTTTGTGATCATCGTAGTGTTCGTGATCATCGCAGTGTTCGTGACCACTGTAGTGTTCGTGACCATCGTAGTGTTCGTGACCACTGTAGTGTTCGTGACCACTGTAGTGTTCGTGACCACTGTAGTGTTTGTGATCATCGTAGTGTTCGTGACCATCGTAGTGTTTGTGACCACTGTAGTGTTCGTGACCACTGTAGTGTTTGTGATCATCGTAGTGTTCATGACCACTGTAGTGTTCGTGACCATCGTAGTGTTCGTGATCATCGTAGTGTTCGTGATCATCGCAGTGTTCGTGACCACTGTAGTGCTCGTGATCATCACAGTGTTCATGACCACTGTAGTGTTCGTGACCACTGTAGTGTTCGTGACCATCGTAGTGTTTGTGACCACTGTAGTGTTCGTGACCACTGTAGTGTTCGTGACCACTGTAGTGTTTGTGATCATCGTAGTGTTCGTGACCACTGTAATGTTCGTGACCATCGTAGTGTTCGTGATCATCGTAGTGTTCGTGATCATCGTAGTGTTCGTGATCATCGTAGTGTTTGTGCCCACTGTAGTGTTCGTGATCATCGCAGTGTTCATGACCACTGTAGTGTTCGTGACCATCGTAGTGTTCATGATCATCGTAGTGTTCGTGATCATAGCAGATCAAGCGGCTAAGTAGCTGCATCCTGAGAAGAAGCAGCGACGACACACGTACCGTAACTGGTGGAGTTAAAAGCAACAGAGGCATCTACTGAATCAACAAGGTGTTTATGGAGGGAGAAATCGTCAGGAGTAGAATCCAGATGGTGGAGATCAAAGTACTTAGCCCACATAGCGGGACCAAACAAGGCGTTGTAAGTATTATTACGGGAAGGGATCATGCAAGTGGCCATGGCGGGGACGGCGTTGAGAACACCCAGAGAGAGAGGGGGTAAAAGGCACAGTAGTCACAATGAGAGACGGAGCCGTGTCAGGGGACGAGGTGGTCCGCACTGGGGGCTGGAAACTCGACCCTACCGCAAAGGAGGGAGGGGAGCTGAGGAGAGTAGTCAGGTCGGGGCCCAATGCAGCGGGGGCTACAGGGCCTGGTCTTCCAACACAGTCCGACTCGGGGGCTTGGTCGCCCACCCCACGAGCCTGAGAAGGTACAAGGGAAACATTATCTGCCATGAAAACGAGGAAAAAGTTTCATTCATGAATGTGCCCCCACACCCACCATGGAGCCACAATTAGAGGCAAAACACCCAACAAGCTATCGCCGATCTTGCCGGGGCCCCCCAGGGGTGCGTCGTGAGTATACGCCCCACAAATGCCACCTTAAGAACCGTGAGTCCATCGTGAGCGGGTTCAGTGACGAAAGGAGGATTGACAATAAAAGGGTCCCCTCGCTCGAGATGTTGGGTACTACAGTTCTACGGGTGCAAGAGTAGCTTCCTCAAACACCCGGGTGTCAAAACAAAAGAAGGTCGAATGAATAATCAAAACAGGCAAAAGGTCAGCGGGAAATGACAATTTGATAGGAGAAAAGGGAGGAGAACAATGAAACACGAGGAAAAGGGGTCTGGCAAAATTGGTAAAGACAGCAGCAGCAGGAGCATAAGGCTGCAAAAGGACAGAGGACTGACCCATGGAGCATCACACTCCGGCAGCTGCTGTTATGGCCACAATGGGTCGCAACCGGGTTCTTTGCTACAGGAACTAAAGTTCTGGTATTCAACCCCAAGTTAGTAGTGGTTTTCAAGGAGTGAGCTTGGTAATGCAAGTAAAACACAAGGGGATGTTTGCAATAAATACTACACTTCATCAATTATCAATATATTCACATATAATCACTTTCCCATCACCTCATAAAATCATAAAGGAAGTATTACTACACTGATATATCCACAAGTGTCGCTTTCACAGGACACTAAGCGCTCCTCAATGCTCAATTGATGCAGTCTTGTCAGCCTCCGTGTTTCCTCAACACACAGTACAGTCCTCCACCAGTACTGGGAAACACCAACGAGTCTATCCTAGCCATGGGCCAGCCTATACACAGTCTCACTAGGTGCTCCTTGTGAATGCCCACAACCACTCTCCAGCCTGGTGCTGGTAGAGAACATCAGCCTCGCGCTGCTGGGCCTCTTCATGAACAAATACAAGGGTAGCGAACCCCTAGCAGGAGCTTCTTGCAACTAGCTAGTTACACTCCTCCTTAGCACCTTACTGTCAGTCGTCTCTTCCTCTAGCCAGTCCCGGGAAACGCCGAATTCTGTCACTGCCACATCACAGGCAGACCGTAGAACACTGCACAGTTCCTCTTCGGCAGTGGCTCACTGCTTCCGTAAAGCAGAATGGAGTAGAGAGATAATGGCTGCCATGGATAGACTGACTGTCCTCGTACCACAGCAGCTCTACATCGCCTCTGTGGATACAGACACGTCATCAGTAAACTGGTAAGTACATGGGACACTAGGAAATACCACTTACGGACTCTGACATAGTCATACAACTCCTACAATAGATGGCGCTGATTTTCTATCTCACCAGAGGTCAGCACTAGCTACCTCTCGGGCAGACCATGACAGGAATCTAGCCCCTCTTGCTGGTATCATCCTGCCACCGCTAGATGGCGTTGTCCATTTTGTGGGGGTTTCGGGAGCGGACTCACAGATGGTATTGACGTCTCTGCTCCATGCTCCGACGATGGAGTCGGGTTCGTAACACTGTCCACCAAGCCCCCCTCACGGCGGCAACGGGCCAGACAGTGAGGGGGGGTACTAGGTGTCTCAAACAACATAATGCAACCAGCTGTGAGACCCGAATGAACACATGCAATAGGTGTCGAAGGAGCCAGCATCATGCCTCAATGTGCAAGTATGCTAAATCAAAGTATTCAAACCCAAGGGTGCGAGATAGAAAATCCACCCAAGTACAGTGCTGCAAGGTGCGAGAAAATAACAGCATGGATGCTCATACAGTCAGCCCTTCCAAGCCTGTAGTCCATACGTCACCCAAAGCTGTGACTCCTGCATCTACTATAGGAATGAGATGCTGTCTATTCTGACAAGAGAATCATACCATTTATCAGTGTCAGGCCTTTCCTGATCGCGTTACCAGAATAAAGCACCTCAAGGAACTGCACAAGTGCACTAAGTGCTTGATGCAACATGATCCTAATACCTGCACCACCCCATTGTAACAGGTGCCAAAAGGATCAACATCATTCTGCATTGTGTGGAGTTGATAGGCCAAAATCACCTAAACTCCAGGTGGAACAGGATACTTCCACTACTGTGCTGTAAGGTACGACGAGAGATTAAGGCGCTTAATACCAAGTTTCATAATGATGTCGCATTACCTACAGCACAACAATTAAATAATAAATCCAAGATCATTACACGAGGTCTATTCGACCAGGGATCACAGAGAATGTTCATCACTCAACAAGCGGCTAACAAGTTGAAACTTAAACCCTTGAGTAACATGACATTGAACATAGCAGGATTCCTAACAGATACTGGACCTCAGGAATAGAGAGTAGTACAACCACTAGTACACCAACCCATCCTCCGAATTGACAGTATGCTTTAATACTAAGTGAAATAACAACATTTCCTGACTGTCATACATAGTACATAATTGCACTTATGGGGCTGTTACATTTACCTACCCATTTATTTCTACTCATTTTCTGTTATGATACTCAGAATTTTAGGATCACGTTTTAAATTTCATTTTGCTATGCACAAGTTTTAAATATCAGGAATTTCTTTTTCAGTTTTATTAAACAATAGAGATTTTATACAAAATTTGAAAATATCCTGAGTTAATTTACAATTCATTTAAATATTTTAGTTTTGTTTTGTTTCAAAAACTGTAATATCAATATAGCAATACATTAAGTAGTAATTTTTATTAAGCAATACAATGCTTATCTTCACAAGCTAAGATGGTTAGGTTAGGTCGTGGTTTTTCTATTTAGCTTTTCAGGTAAACTCAAATATTCACAATATATTTGACAGTACGATTTAATACTAAGTGTATATAAGTACAATTCCTGACTGTCATACATAGTACATAAGTGCACTTATGGGGCTGTTACATTTACCTCCCCATTTTTGGAGGACGGGCTGAGTACGCCTAGGCGGTTATGTCCAAGCTTTCCAGGCCATAGTTGTTGATCACATCTTATTTGACCTAAATGTTAAAGGTCTAGGGAATACGGCCAGATTTTTTCAGAAGAATAGAATCAATCTGGCTGACCTCAAGATAACGTCTGGCCGCCTCACCGATGTAGGTCTATTAGTAGGCGCAGACTAATATTTATCAGTTCATTACTGGAACAAGAAGACAACAGGGTATGAACCTGTTAAGGTCAGCAGGAGGCTACTTACTCACAGGTAGAATCTTAAACCTCAAGAAGCCTATGCCAGCTGAGAACCAATAGTAATCAGAAAAGTCTGGTACAATTGCAGGCGATGAGTCACAATAACATGGCTAAAGTATGTTGACCAGACCACACACTAGAAGGTGAAGGTTATTATATCGGCCTTGCCAACAGGTGTCTAGGGGTAAAAAGAAACGCTGCATAAATTGGGAAAACAATGCATCTACGCTAAGGGTGACAAAAATAACAATTAAATGGTAAATATAGTAGCCAGAAATATTCTTTAGCATGCAATAATATAAATAAATTTTTTATTGAGCAATATTACCAGCACATGAATTATTAATTGGGATAATACACAATCATCTACCCAGAGAATTAACCGAGTATTAGCTAAAATAACAATAACCGCAGACTTAACTTAAAAACATGTCTCCTCTCGACCAAAGCCGCCACGCCTCTGCCCAAGCGTCGGTTCCCAGGGCAGGCGGTCTACCACAATATCAACTAAACATGCACATAAACTATTGTGTAAATTCTACTAACAAAATGTAGTACTAATATTCAAATCATTATTAATCTTGATAGTATTTAATACTGTTACATTGCTCAATATAATTTACTGGCAAACAATAATAAGAATTAATCAAGGTTGAACTATAACCACTCGCTTGACATCAAGTTCCCACACCGGCCACATCCAAATATGGTCATCCCCCCACACGGAGAAACCAACAGGAATTACCTTGCCAAAGAACCATACAAAATAATGCAACTCAGACGCACTACAGCATGCTACAATATATAAGATATTCTATCATCATAAAACTGGATACTATATTAATTATAGAACAAGACAATAAAGTTTATAAGCATCAGGAGTAATGTTAGAATCCTTGTAAGATTCTTAACCACCACAGTGATCATTACCACCAGTGTTCATTACCACCACAGTGATCATTACCATAACAGTGTTCATTCTAACACAGTGATCATTACCACCAGTGTTCATTACCACCACAGTGGTCATTACCACCACAGTGGTCATTACCACCACAGTGATCATTACCATAACAGTGTTCATTCTAACAGAGTGATCATTACCACTACAGTGATCATTACCAACACAGTGTTCATTACCACCATTGTGATCATTACCACCACAGTGATCATTACCACCACTGTGTTCGTTACGTCACTGTGATCATTACCACCACAGTGTTCATTACCAACACAGTGTTCATTACCACCATTGTGATCATTACCACCACAGTGTTCATTACCAACACAGTGATCATTACCA